GAGGTCAAGTTACATATAAGGATTGCAAAGTGGACATTCGATTTGATGACAAGAAGGGGGTTGATGACCGTGGTGAGAGCAGTTTCACTGGTGCAGCACCCAGTTTGCAGTGGGTTTGGGTGAGTGAGAAGAAAGAAAGAAAAGACATCCTGAGTGTTCGTGGTTGGGCGTTAAAAGTGAGCGAGAGGAAGAACGTAGCTGGAGGGGGACGCGGCTTTGAGGGGGTGAGACAGTTTGTGTTTTTAAGGATGGAAGAGACTTGTTTAAGTGCCCTGTGGCCAGCGTTGCTAGAGAAGGAGACATTAGGTTGAAGGTTGGAGGGTGGGATGGAAGCCACTGAGCAGGTGGAAGGAGAGTGTCCCAGGAAAAAGGGGAGGGAGGAAGTGGCTTCTGACGGGGAGGTGTACTTTTCCCATTGTTTCTGGAGGAAGAAGGGAAGTGTGTGTGTGTGTGTGTGTGTGTGTGTGTGTAAGTCAAAGGGTTTTTGCTTATATCTGCTGTTCCTCTGTGAGTAGATGATGAAGTCTTTGCTAAGTGTGAAGAGGAGGTTTTGAAGTGGGGCTCAGAAGCTTTCAAAACTTCTACAGGCTTTGCATTAACTCATGGAAAGTAGGAAAAAGAGTTGACTAAGGAAGTACGAAGACATTGCTTGGCAGCATTGAGGGTCCAGTTGTAGAATTTGTGTCACTCAGTGTGTTTGCCCGATGATTTTGTTTCTCTTCCCGACCGTGCCTTGGTCTGGTAAAGCAGGCAGTGGATGGGTGCATTTTTGCCAGAGTTGTGTGAATGACAGCAGGGAAGGGACACCTGGGATACTGGCACATAAGAGGTGCAGGTGATGAATCATGGAATTGCTGCTGAATAAGGAAGAAAGTAAAGACAGGAACGGGTAGATTGTCAGGAACTGTAGGCCCTGAGGCTGAGGAACCAGGGGTACTGGGAAATGGAAGAGTCTGAAATATAGGAAGTGCTGGCTAGGGAGGGAGATGCCTGAATTTCCGGGTGCTGACCGAGCCCGTGGGAGCGGAGGGAGGCACTGTTGGCTTAGAGGTAGGTGCTGTACATGCCAACCAGCTGGATCTTGAGGGCACCCAGATTATGAAGCCCGAGAACCAGGTGCGCTCGGAGTCAGGAGAGAGGCCAGGGGTGTCAGGAGGTGACAGATATGAGCAGGGGTGGAGATTTCTGTATGTTGATGGCCTGAGCCTCAGCAGGGTTTTCCTGGGGCCATGGAGGCGTGGCGGGGAGGAGCGGGATGTGGGCGGCAACTCTTGGTCTTAGTGGTTTGGGGAAATGTAAGAAAACCAGCAGCTTTCCACTGGAGGGGACAGTATTCTCAGGGGAGAGCCAGCTTTCAGAATTTGAACAGGCTGAGGCACTACGGGACTTCACTGTGTTCTCTGCAGTCCCCATCCTCAGGTGCTCTCTTAGGGCTGTGGGGCTTTGAAGCAGAATGGGTGAGCTGGCTAATATTGATGGGGAACGAGGTCCCTTTTTAGGGGAAGGGAGTCACTTAGACTTCTTAGATCCAGCGGTGGCCCGAACAGATGGCATTTCTGACAAAGACCAAATCTCTCTAGAGCCAGTCGGCTATAAATTTTGGATTGAATGGAAATTCTCTGGAAAGGCTCCCGGCCACAGTCACGGGGCCCATCAGCTCCGGGGGAATAAAGAGGAGTTCTTTTGTGGTCAGGTGAGGCCCAGAGGACTGGGTGCTCTCCTGGATGTTTGATTTTACTGTGGCTCTGTGCTAGGTCTTCCAAAGTGTTGAACTTAAAAAAAAAAAAAATTGGCAGAGATGCCTACAGGTGGCCAAGGAGATATTCACAGGGAGCAGTGGTGAAAATGACTACCCTTCATTACAACTCTTGCACTCAGTTGTCTATTTGTAGATCTGACTTGGGGTGTGTGCCCCTGACCTTGTGATCTTTGTGGGACATTCTAGATTGTGCAGCACAGCAAGGAAGGGCACAGAACAGAACTGTAAAGTGATCGCCTCCGATTATGGAATTGTGGACGTGCACTCTCCTTTCTTTTTTTTATTGCTTCGTTTACCATGGATATTAGGAAATAGAGATAAACACTTACTAGTACTTTGTTTTCCTTTCTAAGTTAGACCTTAAATTTCACAGAGGAAAGTTTTACTACAAACTCATAGTTGAAGTTTTACTGGCATATTTTATGAGTACTGTCTGTCTTATAACTGACTGGATTTCTCTCCGGAAATTCACAGTACTGTCTGTGGCCCAGTTTTAACGAGTGTGCAGAATCCCAAGGTGAGTGCTTTTTGCCAGCCTCGTTCCAGGCTCTGCTTTTTCTCCCTGTCCTTGTTTTTCTTGTATCTTTCTCACCTCCTTCTGATTTATGTCATTTGATTGTATTCCACATATCACTACATCTTTTCTAGAACAAGTGGTGGTAAAAGTAAGTAAAATAAATTTAGGTTGGAGAGTGTGAGCATCCTTCTGTTTCATGGTGATTATTTTTTTTATCTCATTGCTTTCCAAAGCATCAAACAAGTTTTACTGCTTTACTAAATCCCTTATGTCCTATTAAAAAAAATAAGCATTTGTGTGTGTGTGATTACAAAGGTATTATATGAGAATATTAGAAAGTTTGGAAATGAAGTTGAATATAAAGAAGATCATTGTCATTATCATTTCTAGATTTTCCTTCTAACTTTTTATATCCAAAATTTTAGCACCAGTGAATAATTTATAATGTATATAGAATTAATTTTGTGTCCTGCTGTTTTTCTTAAAACTATATTAAAGAATTTTTTTCATTAAAAATGTCTTACAGACGTGATTACTGATAAACATGGAGTAAATATACCATAATTTCCTTAACTATTTTTTATTGCTGGACACTTAGGTTGCTTTAATTTTTTTGTTGTTGTTGTTGTTATTTTTGCAGTGAACATCATTGCATAGATATCTTTGCCACAGTTTAAAAATTATTTTCTAATGGTAGATTCTTAGCGTAGCAGCAATTTAAGACACATATATATGCCATAAATGAAGGAGATAATTCAGGTGAGTATTTTTAAAAGCTTGCAATGAGGGCAGACTTTTCATCAATGTCACTAACAGTAGTAACCATAAAGGGAAAAAAATGGATGAATTTGACTACATAGCAAAAAATTCTGTATAATAAAAATCATTTGGCAATTATGATAGGTGAACGACTATAAAGAGCTTTCACAGGTGGAAATGGCTAGACTTACAAATTTTTAAAAAGACTTCTTGTGAAAAAAGAAAAATACACAGCTAAAAAACATTTGAAAGGGAAAAACAAAACATTGGAAAGGATGGTCAACCCCAATACTCATTAAGCACAAGTAAAACAAAGATGACATGTTATTTTTCAGCTGTAATTCCATCAAAGATAACCATTATTGAGAATAAATGGTAAGAAGATAAATCAGTCTATACCTGGAAACAGTTGGTTGGTTAAAAATATGTATACTCTTTTCATCCAACAATTCCGTCAAGAGAATTATTAAACAGGTGCCCAGTGCTGCTTACTGTAGTTTTGTTTATTGATTTAAAAATTAGAAACAATCTAACTAGGGACTTGGTTTAATTATGGTATATCCATGTGTATTATGTACATCTGAACTTACTGACATGGAAAGATGTCCAAGATGTATTAAAGAGATACAGGAAATTGTGAGTGACTGTGCCTAGAAAAAGCATAGAAAGATACAAACCATAATATTAATTGCAGTTTTCTGTTTAGAGGGATTATATCTGATCTTTTAATTTTTATTTCTTCATTTTTACTGAAGTTTTAAAATAAGTATGTCTAACCTAAGTAAATAGAAGGGGAGAAAACAAAGCAGTTGCCCCAAAGTAAAATTGGTTAGAGCAGAAACTAAACTTGTTTTCTCCAACATAACTGCTTTTTGTCATTTCCAAATATTGATTTCAAAGTTAGAGTAGAAACGTTACATAGATTGTAATTTATGAAGCAGATTTGCAAACCATCATAAACATCAGTTCTGTTTGTGACGAAAGCGAGTTGCCTTTGTCACCTTTCAAAATATGCCTTTCATGAGCCCATAATCATCGGCATGTCCCAGACAGAGCCTGTTGGGGGCTGTGTGGGATCTTGAAGAACGTCCCTTCCAGCTGCCTCCTTACTGGTGAGGAAACCGGGGCTCCAGGAGACCTGATGGGATCTCAGAGGTGCTAGGACTGCTCATGCCCCTGCCTCAGGAGGAGTGCCAGGCTACATGCCCCCAATAGCTCTGTCATCCTTATACCTAAAGATTCATCAGTAGTGGTTTGGATTTAAATGTTCTCCCCCCCACCCCGCCTTCCTCTCCCCTCTCTGTGTCTCTGTCTCCAGTTCTACAATGTTAATTCCTTTGGTGAGTCTTCTAATAAATCACAAATTCCTAGGTTGGACAATTTTGCCCATGTCCTCCCACCCCTGCCCATCGTAGGGGAAGGTTGTGTTTCATGGCCATATGCTGGTGCGTGGGACTTTGAAAGAGGGGAAAGTGCATAAAGAGAGATTTGGGGGTTAGTCCAAGATCAGGTCCTTTAACGTCACAATTTTGCTCAGCTTGTGAGCCTGGCTTTTGGGGAGGATGAAATCATAAATTTCGATGCCAAAGCTGTTCACAAGTTTTTCTTTGATGGATGACTCTTGTTCATGTGTTTTTAAGATTTTCTTGGTGTCGTGGATTAAAGCAGACTTTTGGCTTGAAAGAGTAAATTTATAAAATGTAGCTTGAGCCACTTCTGTCTTGTACTTTAATTTCTGAGAGCTGTGACTGTCATTAAGTGGGTACCCTCACAGGGGAAAATGGTTTATCTGAGACACAATTTTCGTTTGGGCAAATTAATGAGTAAAAATCTTGTTTTGGTAAAAAATTAATTGTATTTAATGTTGGTTTTCATTATCAAAGTGTTGCATCCCATTTCAGAAAACTTCAATTTAGAAGAGGGGATAAGATTAGTATTTTTTCTGTAATTCAGTGACATTTTGGCATTTCCTTCTAGTTGTTTTTTTTTTTAATTATCTAAGATACAATGTAGTTTCAAGCTTATGGTTCTGGCAGAATATGCCAGATTAGGCAAATCTTTTCTGTTTTCTTCTAACCTGGTTCCTAAATGAGCAGATGATCTGTTATCTCTACTTTTTGGGGTTTTTTTTCCCCCTTCTGCCTTTGGCAAAACTTGTCAACATACCTAGCAGAAGGTGGGGACCTTTTTTTTTTTTGAAGAGATTCACAGATTTGGATTCAGTAGCAATATCCTCAGTGGAATTATTCTGCTAAAAGAAATTCTCGAAGTTAACCTTGGAGGAAATGAATCAAATGTTCCTGAACACAATTCTGAGGGACAGTTGAGTTCCATTCCCTGGGGGGGGGGAGGGGGAAGGAACCCCAACATTTTCATTCTAGATCCTTGAAATTTTTAACTGGACCCTGTGGCTTAGACGTGTTACTCTGTGTTGGTAAACCTTGCCATAGGGTTGGTGCATTTGGTGGAAGGAAAGTTTGTTCTTGCCCAGTTAGATTTATTCAGAGAGTTTTTTCCTTCCCTTCTGCCAAGATGTGTTACTCTTCCCTTACCCTCATTTTGTTCCACTCTCCCCCTTTGCAGAGCACTCGGGTGGAGTTTGACCTGCCAGAATATTCTGTTCGTCGAAGATACCAGGATTTCGACTGGTTGAGGAACAAACTGGAAGAATCCCAGCCCACTCATCTCATTCCCGTAGGTACTAAGTCAGGACAGCTCCTTCCTGCCTTGTCCCGCATTCTGTCTCCTGACACCGTTCACTCAGCCCTTCCGCCTTAAATTATGGGCAGACTCTACCTGGCTTTTTATGCCAAATTCGCCCACCAAATGCACATGAAACATGTTTAACGGATGCTGTGGTTTGGGTTTGGGTCTGATTTGCTATGTAGTATGCTGATTTCTTGAGTGAATTGAGGCAGATGTTCACTTTCATTATGACAGCTAATTTTCTGAGGTGCAGAGTCCTAATTCCCTTTGCTGCCTCTTTCAAGACCATCTCTTCCACCCTTCCTAGACACTATTCTTGAGGTTTGGATAGCTGCCACCAGGTGGAGAAAGATGTCTCAGCTTACAGCTGGCTGGGCTTTCTTTAGACATGGGTAATTCAGGCCGCAGGAATCTAGCACACGATCCACTCAACCACAGCTTTTCATTTAAAAAACAAACCCAAGGGCCACCTACCTCTGTTTACTGAAGCAGCATAATATTTATCTATCACTTTATCTGTACATTTAAAAAAACAAAACTAGAGGAAACAAAGTTTAAAGGACTGCTTAACTCAACATACATGTTGCGTACTTTGACCTTTTTTTTTTAAAGTATAAATAATAACTATTTAGACCCTAGGTATTTCTTGGGCTTTGGGGGCTTTTGGGCAATTTGGGTCATAAAACTCTTCAGCGGAGCTTTATCTTTCAGTAGAAACCTTGGCCGGTTAACTTCTTAGCGCCGCCAGGTTTCCTGTTACCACCGCATCTTCCAGTCTTCCCCCCGTAGTAGGAAGAGGCTGAGTCTGCTATGAACACTCCAGCAGTTTCCCTGGTTTTCGAGGCAAGAGTAGCTGTGTTGTTAGTGCTGTGGTGGGAGCGATGGGTCTTGTCGGGGGCTCTGTCTTTCTCAGGGGGTCTCCTGGAGTTATTTTTGCCACCTCCCCCATCACGTATCCCCTCCGCTCTCCAAGCCTGGAGTTTTGCTTTTCTATCTTCTGATCACTTAAAAACCTGCCAAAAAAGAGACGATAGTTTTTAAGCAGTTGGAATTATTCCTTAAAAATCTTAATTTGGCAAAATTGGCAGCTAATGAAAAAAAGTTTTAATCGACTTTTTATTTTAGAGCAGTATTAGATTTACAGAACTATTGCGAAGATAGTACGTGGGTTCCCACAGATCCCACACCCAGTTTTGTTTATTATTAACATTTTATATTAGTATGGCACATTTGTCACAAATAGTGAACCAGTAATGGTACCTTATTATCGACTTAAAGTCCTTTATTTGGATTTCCTTAGTGTTTGCCTAATGTCCTTTTCCTTGTCTCATCCCACTTACCACATGACATTTAGTGGTTATGTCTCCTTGGTTCCAGGCTCTTCTTGGTTGTGACAGTTTTTTGGGCTTTCCTTGTTTTTGATGACCTTGACAATTTTGAGGACAGTACCGGTCAGGCATTTTGTAGAGTGTCCCTCAGTTGAGATTTATTTGATGTTTTCCTCACGATTAGCCTGGAGTAGTGTGTTTTGAGGAGGAAAAGCACAGAGGTAAAGGGCCGTTCTCATCATATTGTATCAAGGGTACATGCTACCACCATGCCTATCACTGTGGATGCTTACTTGGATCGCCTGACTTGAGGTAGTACTTACCAGGTTTCTCCACTGCACAGTTACTCTTTCTTCTCTCCCTCCCCGTGCTGTACTGTTTGGAAGGAAGTTGCTCTTTATGTGTAGCCCACACTGTGCATAAGAGTTACACACAGCTGACTGGATAAAGAAGTTGTGGTATATGTATACAATGGAATATTACTCAGCCATAAAAAAGAATAAAATAATACCATTTGCAGCAACATGGATTGACCTGGAGATTGTCATTCTAAGTGAAGTAAGCCAGAAAGAGGAAGAAAAATGCCATATGATATCACTTATATGTGGAATCTAAAAAAAAGACAAGTGAACTTACTAACAAAACAGAAAAAGACTCACAGACATAGAAAACAACATTATGGTTACCAGAGGGGGGAGAGGGTGGGAAGGGATAAATTGAGAGTTTGAGATTTGCAGATACTAACTACTATATATATATAAAATAAGTAAATGACAAAGTATACTGTATATAGCACTGTATCCAATATCTTGTAGTAACCTATAATGAAAAAGATTATGAAAACGAATATATGTATGTATATGTGTGACTTAACTATTATGCTGTGCACCAGAAATCGACACAACATTGTAAACTGACTATACTTCAATTAAACAAACAAAAAACCACACCACCTCCTGGCAATGAGGGGTATTTGAAGTTCTGTACTTAAAAATCAAAGGTTAGACAGCGACACCTGCTGGTGAAACATGGTAGCACTCATGCATAGACACTGAAGCCCGAACTGCAAAAGAATGGAAGCCTCCAGAATGCCCACGGTGGATCAAGAGTATCTTTAAGTCTGGTTTTCTACGGTCTGGGTAGAAGCAATGAGTAGAAGGTACTTGTGGAAGCACATGGGGACTTAAATTTCTTCATAAATTCTTAGTACATACCTGGGGTGGAGAGAGATTTAATTTAGGAGAGCATCTCTGACTTAAGCATGAAAGTCAGACTTATTTTTCCCCCAAAGAAATTTGTTTTACAGCAGTTTTGCTAGGAAGTATCTATCTGTTATTAATAATCGACTTTGTTGGTTACTAGGTTACTAGGCTTTTTTTTAACTTCCCTGGGAAGGTGAAGGGTTGTAAGATGGACAGGCGACTCCTGTTCTGTGGAGTTTATTGTCACATGAAGACCCAGTAAATGTGCAACGCAATTAGTGCCCTGTCATGTAGTGAATGTGCACTAAATATTTGCTGAATTGCATAGAAGAAGTAATTTTTTAAAAGGACTTTTTAAAAAATTCCTTTTTTTTTTAAACGGAGATACTGGGATTGAACCCAAGACCTCATGTATGCTAAGCATCCAGTCTACCACTGAGTTATTAAAGGAAGCTGCTGCTAAAAGAAGCCATTTAAAATGCTGACAAGAGGAAATTAGACATACAAAGATTGAGCAATTGAAGTCTTTGTCCAAATTTCCCACCCAAAATAGCTTTTCAATGACAATACTTTTGTTTCATAGGTTATAGAATACTTTCTTATAAATTAATATAAAATATATGTGAAAGTGCTTTACCAAAGTACCAAGTGCTATAAAAATGTAAGTATTTTAAGATCAAACCTTAAAATATTTAATGAGTTATTGCAAGCTCTGCAGATAGGATTTTTTTTTGTAGGTTCCAACATATATACTCATATATAGTTTTTTTTTTTGAACCTTTTCATTATGGAAAATGTCAAACATACCAAAGTAGAGAGATTGATTGCAGTGAACCCTCATGTACTCATCACCCAGTTTCAGCGTTTATCAACTTATTTCCTCTCTGTCCCTACCCTTTCCTGCATCCCCGATCAGGTGATTTTTTTTTAAAGTGACTTAAACAACACAATTTTTTATCTTATACTTCTAGAGATCAAAAGTCCAAAATCAGTCTCAGGGGATCATATCAAGATGTAGGCAGGGCTGTATCCCTTCTGGAGGCTCAAGGGGAGACTTTGTTCTTTCCCGTTTTCAGCTTCTAGAGGCCACTTGCATTCCTTGACTCAGGCCCCTTCCTCCATCTTCAGGACCAACAACATAGCATTTCCTTTCTCTCTGACATCTGCTTCTGTTGTTACATCTTTTTTTCCCCCAATTCACATAGCATAAAATTCACCAAAGTGTACAATTCAGTGGCTTTTGTTACATAGTCAGAGTTTTGCAGTCACCACCACTAATTCCAGAACATTTTCATCACCCCAGGAAGAAGCTCCACACCCATTAAGCAGTCACTTCCCATTCGCTCGTCTCCGCAGCCCAAACATTGTGAATAATGCTGTGTGAACATCTGTTGTACAGGTTTTTGTTTGAACACTTGTTTTCAGTTATTTTGGCTATATGCCAAGGAGTGGAATTGCTGGATCATACAGTAATTCTGTGTTTAAGTTTTGGGGGAAATGCTAGACTTTTCCCCAGTGACTATGCCACTTTATGTCCCTGCCAGCAGTGTATGAGGATTCCAATTCCTCTGTATACTTGCCAACACTTGTTCTTTTCCTTTTTTTTTTCCTTTTATAGTCGTCCTAGTGCATGTGAAATGGTATTCCAGGTGATTTTTTAAAATATTTTTTGGCTTAAAAGATATATGAAATTTCCACCCTTTAGTCCACTCCCCTCTTTGCCTTCTCTTCTCCGTATTTGCAAATTAATACAAATACTTGACATTTATTCGACATCTACCATGAGCTGGGAGCTGTGTTGAGCTCTTTGTTCGTATTATTTCATTTACAGAGTATAGTTGCCCTTGATTTTACCAGCAACCCAGATTCCTATGCATAAACAACCCAGAGGTAATTAATCAAGTTGAGGCAGAGAGTAGGTGTGCCCCTTTAAGGAGGCTTGAAATAGGAAGAAACAAATTTATGAAGCCATGGACACTGGACAATAGTAATGCTTATTACAGAAGGAAATTCTGTTTGCAGAAGGATTCACCCCAGCATTCCTTTCAATAGCAAGCTTCCCTGATTCACTGAACATCAAGTTCAGTGTATGAGATCTGAAGAATGGATAACTCTTTTTAGAAGGTTATCTGTTACGTTCAATGAGACACACCTAACCACTTATTTGCTCATTAGGCCTATTTCCTGAGTCCTCTTTAGCATAAGCAAATCAGAGCGTGCACAACAGGATTCAGGAGATTGGAACAGAAAAATACCCACTGGATTTGGTAACTAGTAGGTCATTGATCATCTTGAAAAGAGTGGTTTCTGCCTTAGTCAGGGATAGGGCAGAGAAAAGTAGCATTGAAGGCAGTACCAAAGGTGGTTTGTTTTGGGGCAAAAGAAGATAGGGGATTGAGAGATCAAGGGAAAGAGTAGAAAGTAAAGATAAATGATTCTTTTCAAAAAGATTGAATGAAACAGGAAGAAGAGCAGATGTAAGATCAAGAGAGAGATTTGTTTGTTTCCCAGGTAGAAAGAGCACCAACCATGTTTTTTGTAGATTCAGAATAGAGCCAGATGAAGAGGAGGTGTTAAAGGTACGCTGCAGGGAAAGTATAATTAATTGGTCACAGTGGATGCATGGTAGTGAGCTAATGGGTCAAGGCCACGGTTGGAATAGTTAGCTTTGGAAAGGGGAATGTTCTCTACAGCGACCTGAGACATGGAGGCTAAGGTGGTACCCAGTAGAGTGTTGATTCTTGAGATCTAAAACATATGGACTTTCCAAAGCTCTTTCAAGTTTAGGCTGTTCAAATCTCTCATACCTAAGTGCTTCGTTTCCAAGGGTGCTGGTGTTGCAATTTCTAAATATTTGAAAGGTTTTATGTTATTAATCTGGGTGGCTTCTTGGCTTTCCCACTCTTAAATGCTTAGGATTCCACTGTTAGGGGTTGCCTACCTCCTTGTTCCTGTATCTTATTTCTCCATTTACATGTGTGTGCGTGCTTGAAGGTTTATAACTTAAAAGAAAAAAAAACCTCTTTATTGCCATATTATAGTGTTTAAGGAGGTTGCAGCCTTAAATGCTTGTTCCAGTTTTTCTGTATTCTCCTCAACACTTGTTCTTTTCTTTCCTTTCTTGTCTTTCTCTGTCTCTGTCTCTCGCTGTCTCTATTATGGTCATCCTAGTGGGTGTGACGTGGTGGCTTCAGTTTTGATTTGTATTTCCCCAATGACTAATGATGTTGAGCATCTTTTCATGTGCATTTGGCCATTTGTTTATCTTCTTTGGAGAAGTGTCTACTGGATCATTTGCCCATTTTGTTTGTTTTTGTTTTTTGAGGTTTTGTTTTTGTTATTTATTTATTTTTTTATTTTGGGGGAGAGGTAATTAGGTTTAGTTATTCATTTATTTCTTTTATTTATTTTAAAGGAGGTGCTGGGGATCGAACCCAGGACGTTGGGGATGCCAAGCATGTGCTCTACCACTCAGCTATACCGTCCCCCACTCATTTGCCCATTTTTTAATGTAAATTTTAAAATATTTCCTAATGAAAACATTTTCAAGTTGTGCATTAGCAGACACTCTTTCCCTGTGGTGGTAGCAATGGGGAAGGCCTTTTAATCAAGCTGCTATGGAAATAGGTCAAAGCTCAAAGTCAGGTAGTTTTAAATTGCCCACAATATCGACTCAAAGTAAATGTGAAAGAGAAATTTGTTTGAGTAAGGAATAAAGGAAGTTACATTATTAAGAACTTTTTAGCAAACTGGCTTAGAAAAAAGGAGTTTTTTAGATACATGGGTTTCCCTAACGTACTTATTTTTTCATTGTCAAATTTTTACCCCTTGAACTGGGCTTAGAATCTTAAGATGTTTAAATAATTTTTTGTGTGGATAATGCTTTCCGCCTTCTCTCCTTAGGCTGTCTTCCTTATCTTGCCCTAGCGTTCCCAGTATATCATCTGTGCATCAAGCGATGTAAAGATAACCATACTATTGAATGCTTTAGTGCTGTTTCCTGTGTCTTCCAGAGACTACATGCTAATATTTTATTTCTCCCATTATAAAATTGACAGGGTAGTTGTGATTTTCTCCTTCAGTATCTTTCAGAAATGTTTATATTGATGACTATATAAAGATCTGACTGGTAAAGAAAAGCTGTTCTTAAAAAAGAAGCAGGCTTACAGATATAGAGAACAAGCTAGAAGTTACCAGTGGGGAGAGGAGAGGGGAGAGGGGCAATATAGGGGTAGGAGGGTAAGGGGTGCAAAGTATTAGGTGTGAAATAAGCTGCAAGGACATAGTGTACAAAACAGGGAATATAGCCAACATTTTATAATAACTATCAGAGGAGTATAACCTTTAAAAATTGCAAATCACTATATTGTACACCTATAACTCCTATAATGTTGTACAAAACTATACTTCAATTTTTAAAAGCTTTAAAAAAAAGGGAAAAAAAGAAAAGAAAGATTGTTCTTGAGACATGGGTCCTAGGAATTATGAGCTAGCCTGGTGGTTTTTCTTTGCACCTTCTCATCAGTTACTCTGAATGTTTTTCTTCATGTCTTTGTAGCCACTTCCTGAGAAGTTTGTAGTGAAAGGTGTTGTGGATCGTTTTTCAGAGGAGTTTGTGGAGACCAGAAGAAAGGCTCTGGATAAATTCCTGAAAAGAATTACGGATCATCCTGTGCTCTCCTTCAACGAACACTTTCACGTTTTCCTCACTGCTAAGGTAAGGACAGAATTCGTCCGTATCCCTCCCCCCAGATTAGCATTCTTTGGCTTCTTTCTTAAAGGTGGTTTTGTTCTCTCATGAGCCACCTTCATGAATGGCCCCTGATGGTGTCATAGAATTGCTCTTTTTTTTTTTTGCTGCCCATCTGCACTGGCGTGGTTCCCGTGGTAGAATTTAGAGGAAACACCCCCTTGCAGCAGCAGAAGAAGTTATAATATTTTCACTTTCTCTAAACACTTACTAGCAGTATTACCTGCTGAGGGCATCCTGAGCAGCAGAGGGCGCGGACAGGAGGGACCCTTACTGAGTGTTTGGTCAGGACGTTCTTCATGAGAACCTGTGGGTGTTCACTCGGAGCCCATTTTACAGATGAGGAAACCCAAGTCCAGGGCGTTTGCAGTAGGTGAGGTGGCATCACTAGGCTGTGAAGTTGGGCCTGTGTGGTTCCCAGGCACTGTTTCCCTTGGTATCAGATGGCCTGACACAAGAGTAGTCCCGCATCACTTGCCCGCAACCAAGTCCCTATGGGGGAGGGGGTGGCATTTCCTGAGCATTTGCCAGGGAAATATTCAGGGCCTGCACTGCTGCCAGAGTCTGTGTATTGGACTCCAGCTGGCCATCCACCAACTTCCCTCTGCACTTCAGTGTCGGCAGAACTGGCCCAAAACCCTGAGGTGCTCACCTCCAACTGTTTGCAGAAATGGGCTTTTGTGTTCAGACTCTCGCCAGCTTCCCTCCTGCCCCACCTGTTTAGTTTCATGTGTCATGTTCTCGTATTCAGGCCAGAGGTCGTTCATTCCAAGTTTGGCCCAGGTACTTTCCAGCTTTCTTTTTCAAAATGGTGAAATTGAGCAGACAGATCACATCAGTTGACGTAAAGACTTTAGAGGGGATGCTGTTCTCTAGGCAGTGAAAACCGCATCGCCAAGTCCTTCATGGTGTGTTGTTTCTCCCCCAAACCTCAGTGGGCACTTAGTCTCCTTGATGACATTCACATTCTTTTTCTTTTTCTTTTTTTTTCCTGGAAGCCTTTTCCCCCACAGGTCAAACTTGTGTTCTTTCGAAAAATAAGTATTTCCTGGTGAACTGATCCTCGGGAGGAGTTCTTTCAGCGTATATGCAAAGTAAATCCACCCTGTTCTCCAAAAGTTCAGCCCACTGTTTCACCCAGATCACAGGTCCATTGTCCAGGCAGGCCCTCAAGTTCCGCCATTTTTATTGAACAGAGAGACGAAGAGGGAGGAAGCTTGGACCCCTGGTCGTTAGGAATTTGTGTCAAGAATAAGTAGGAAAGGTTTTGTGTGTGTGTGTGTGTGTGTGTGTGTGATATGAATCTGTGGGCCAAGCAGCAGGAAATGATTTAAAAAAAAAAAAAACCCTCAATGTCTTAATCAAATCCAACTTCAGGTGAGCGAGGACAGGGGAGCTGGCTCATTTAAACAAAGCACCTTCTAGCCCTAAGTGCCATTTTACTTGCTCAATCAAATGCATTAAATAACCCCATTTTTTCTTTTTTTCTTTTTAACTGTGGTAAAATGCACTTGACATACAGTTTACCATCTTAATCATTTTACAGTGTACAGTTTGGTGGTGTTAATTATCTTCATGCTATTGTACAGCTAATCCCCAGAATTTTTTCATCTTGTAAAACTGAAACTTTGCACCCAGTGAACAATAACTCCCATCTCCGCTATCCCGTCCCCCAGTCTTTTGACACGAGTTGAATAACTTGGCCGACAATTTTGGATATTTTGCATGGGAGAAAGGAGCACTTTCATTTTCAGCGGTGGACAGAAGTTTCAAAAAATTGTATTTCAGTAGCGTGTTTAAAGGAAAGCATGCTCAGGTGAGTGGACCCGATGGGGAAGGTAGGAGTCCGGCCCTGGTGAAAGCTCTGGGTGTAAAGGCACCGGCGTGCGAGCGTGTGGTTGTGCAGGCAAGGAAAGTGGTTGGGTCCTCACCGCGCTCAGCTCCTTACTTTCTGAGTCCTCCTGCAGAAGCCGGTTTGCTGAGCCCCGGCCACGTGAGAGGTTGAGCCCTTTGAGTCTGTTTGTTCACGTGTCATCCTTAGGACCTGAACGCCTATAAGAAGCAAGGGATGGCCCTGCTGACTCGAGTGGGCGAGTCAGTCAAGCACGTCACTGGCGGCTACAAGCTGAGGAGTCGGCCCCTCGAGTTCGCAGCCGTAGGCGAGTACTTAGACACGTTTGCACTCAAGCTGGGGACGATTGATCGAATAGCCCAGCGGATCATCAAGGAAGAAATAGGTGAGCTCTCTGCCGAGGTCTTGATCAGGCCCGGGGACCACGTTTGCAGGAATGGCGTTCATGTGCGCCAAGCAGAATCACGCTGCAGAAGCAGTGAAGTGGCAGAACCAGGCTACGTCCTACCTGTAAAACTGATAAGTAAATACCAGGAGTCGGGGAGGTTGTGTGACCGGAGTATAATTTCACACTCCACCCCAGGCCCTGCACCGCATCCTTGTGTTTGCTTTCCCTGTGGCCAACCACCGTGCTGAGCCTTTAGGCTTTTCCACTTTTATTTCTCTTAACTTTAGCTTTAAAAGTGGAGCTAATGACTCAACTTCCCTTCATTCATAAGAATGAAAATTTACCAAGCAAAAGATGGTTCAAAAGGACAGCATGGTGACCTGGGTTTGCCAAAGTTATGATCCTGACAAGCCTTCAGACTTGAAACTGACTCACCTGCCCCACCCCTGCTTCACTGCAAACCTACTCTTCCTGACCTGGGTGTCATGAGGCCTTTCTTTAACCTTCCTGGTTGTTGCCATCACTTCCTCCCCACCCCTCTCGTGGCCACTTGGTTTTCCATATTTTTTGTCTTCTCACATACATGGAGGTCAGGAAGACCTGAACGCTGTTAATGGTCATACTGGCATGTGATGTGATAGGAAAGGGTTCTCCAGTGCTTGCCATCCATTGGTTACTGAAAAATGGCAATGACATTATATTGTCGTGGCAAGAATCCTGGTGACAAATGGTGGGCCAGATTTTCTTTGTGGGGGGAATCAATCAACATTTTCTTCTTGTTTCCTGTGCTTTAATTCTCCTTTACCCACTGCTGATATCCTGGGGGGCCTGCAGGCTTTGGAGACAGCCTTAGGTACCATCCACACCTAAAGACTGTGTTGGGTAAATTCTGATGGAACCAATGTGTTAGGGTGACCCTTGAGTGAGAAAGTGAACCTGCCTATGTAAGACCACGTTTCTTGTATCAAGTGTTTACTAAAATTCCATTCTTTTTCCATTGTGATTGATTTTTTTCCTTTTTAAAAACTTTCCCCCTAAACCTGTATGAAACTCCACCTCCATTGCCTGTTAAAATACTGCTTCACTGAATGCGTAGGTGAGTGGTTTTCTCTGAAGACATTTGGTGGATGTAGCTGCTACCATTTCCCCCCAGAATGTATTGTGGTTCCCATTATCCAGAGGCATGACATTCCCACTGTAGGGGAGGACGGATTGACGTCACCGTGTTAGCTGTAACAGCTGTAACGTCAGCTCTCAGAGATTAAAAGGCATTCTGTTGTAAGCAGTACTGTGTTTACATGAGAGCGTGCTCTGACCCGTGAACGGCCCAGGAAACACATCCTGATGGAGAGAGCTCTTGGCTGCAGCGGCTACTGAGCCAGTAAGACCAGGGAGTGCTGCCCAGCCAGGGCTTGACTGGTTTCTCTTCCCCTTCTAGAGTACCTCGTGGAGCTGAGAGAATATGGGCCGGTGTACTCCACGTGGAGCGCGTTGGAGGGGGAGCTGGCCGAACCCCTGGAGGGCGTGTCAGCTTGCATCGGCAACTGCTCTGCGGCCTTGGAAGAGCTGACGGATGACATGACAGAAGACTTTCTACCTGTGCTCAGGGAATATATTTTATACTCTGACTCCATGAAGGTAAGCTGGGCACATTCTGTTCCCTTTGGGGCAGAGGGGAAGCCCAGAAAGCCGAGGATCGTTACCAGGCCAGGTGGAAAAGATGGACCATGTGCAGTGAACAGTGAGGACGGCTTGTACTAGAAAGATGGTTGAAGACGTGTGTTCCAAGGATGCTGTGGAGTGAACAGTGCCTGAGAGGGAGGGGTACCAAAGTCACCCTCAGGCCCAGAACTCAAGTTAAACACCCTGCAGATTTCTGCAGAGGAGCCCCTATCTGGGATTTCACATCCTATACAAGGTAAAATGTAATTGCAGTAGCAATGGGCTAGGAGAGAACACGGTAGAGTCTGAAGCAAGGTCCTGGCAATGCCTTTTGAGTCCTGGTGTCACTGGGACCAGGCCAAGAGTTGGGAAAGCTTTATTTAAGGAAGTTATGGAAGGGCCCTATGCCTTATACCCAACACTGCCTCATTTATAGAAGGTGGTTGTCAAATATTTAATCGAAGTTGACAGCGTGGTACGTTTAGAACATTTACAGATGTTATGACTGCTGTAACATGTTACTTTTTTAAGGGACAGGTTTATCTACAGGTCAAAGGGCATGCTTATCTCAGAGGTCTTGATGAACCGCTAGTGAGGTGAGCTTTGGAAGAGTGGGTGGTAAGGCAGAGGCCAGTGTGAGTGGAGCCAGCTGAGCAAGGGAGCAGGTGGTGGGAGGGGAGGTCAAAGGGATAAGTAAAGGCCAGGACACATCCTAGCATCTTAAGGGCCATGGATGGTAAGGGTCTGGATTTTGTGGTTAGGAACAGAAGAGAAGCTGTTTGGTTTTATGCAGGGGAGTGGCAGGACACAGCTTTTACTTTACAGCTAGCACTGCAGTGAGAATGTGGGAGAGAGAGTGGAGGTCCAGAGACCCTTAGGAGACTGTTGCAGGGAGCCAAATGGCCAACGACTGAGGTGGTGGAGCTTGGCTACAGGCTACAGTGATGGAGAAGTAGACTGGGATATATTTTGTATGAAGGACCAATTAGACTGTAATAATGTGAGAAAAGAAATGGGAGCATTGAAGGTGACTCCTGGGTTTTGGGCCTCAGCAACTGTGTGGATAGCGATGCTGTTTATGGAGATGGGAAAGTTTGGGGTGACACAGATTGGGGAGGTGGGAATCAAGTTGTTTTGGTCATATTGAGTTAAAAAATGCCTGTTAGTCATTAAAGATGCCATGGCAGCTGGTGATGAGTTTAGTTCAGGGTGGGAATGGAAGTGTGGGAGTCATTTGTGTTTGGATGGCATGTAAATCTATGAGAGCGAGGGAGATGACACAGTGAATGCAATCCAGACCTGCATCCTGAGGCAATGGCAATATTTAGTGGTCCAGCACCTAATTCAGAGGAGGAACAAGTAGAAAAAAGCCCGGGAAGGAATGGTCAGTGTAGTTGGAGGGGGAAATAAAAGTAGAGAATTAACCTCAGTGAAGCCAGGAGAAATGTTTTTTAGAAAAAGTGTGATAAACAGTAGCCATCGGATTTAATAATATGAAAGTCAGTGCTAATTGTGATTAAAGGTGTGAGATGTGGCTACAGAAGTTTAGGTTTGAAGACAGTTTGTCCTTGAGTTGGAGATACTTTGAACACGTTCCAGGATGGCTCTTTTCAAATGCTGGTTATTTAATTGCCAAATGTTTTTTTTCAGCCTGCCCACCTTTTCCCTTCAGGGGCCACAAGTTAGAGCCAATGACTCATCCATGCTTTAGGTTGCCCGTTTCCGGTGCCTTTCAAAAACTAAAAAGATTTTTGTGAAGACTGAGTTGGGAGAGGAAAGTCCTCCTTCCTAAACAAAAGTCATTATAGATTGAGGGCCTCATTTCTTGAAAACATGAAGAATCAGGATGTGGAAATGTACACGATGATCTCAAGTGTTTTGAAAAAAATCAGAAAAATACAAAAATTAAAACACTGAGATTCCCAGTCATGGCCGACTGAATACATATTTCAAGTTCCTCTTTTTCATGAAACCAAAATGACATGAGAACGATTCTTTTTCGAAGGCACAAGTTCACAAAGACAAAGAGCAACGGGAAGGGAAACAGTAGCACAATTAGGAACTAAAGAGCAAATCAAGAGGTGATGGGGACTCATGTGACTCAGAACAGCTTCCTCTGAAGATGACGGTGGTGGAGGGGGGAATTAAGAGGCCACCTGGTTCACTCCGTGGAATCCTTCAGGAAGTTCAAGAATTGGCAGCACCAAGTACCTCTGGGACTGGGGGAGAGAAGAGCTGCAGAGAAGGATTAGTCGGGAGTCTGTTTAAGAAGCATTTAGAGCTTCCAGCTCTGTCCTCCTTTCTCACACAGGGGCCCCTGTCCCTTCTCCACTCGGGCAGAACTGAAGGTGTAAAAATAATAATTAAAAAAAAATAGGAGTGTCTCTGGGCCAAGAGACACCAGGCACAGTGGAGGGTGGGGGCTAAAATTCCCAAAAGCAAAAGCAAAAGCAAAATGTGGGGGAGGGTGTAGCTCAGTGGTTGAGCTGTGCTTAACATGCATGAGGTCCTGGGTTCAATCCCTAGTACCTCCATTAAAACAACAACAACAAATCTAATTACCTCCCTTCAAAAAAAAAAAGCAAAATGTTACTCAATGTTGAGACTCATAGTCATCTTCCTCTGCTTGGCTCTCAGCTTTATACTGTCCCTGCAGGGATTAGAAGAGCCTTTCAGGAGATCTCAGCAGGCTGGGAGAAGACACTGACCTTGGGAAGGGTGGGGGGTCCTCAGTGAAATGACCCAGCAGAGTCCCTACTAAGAACCGCCAGCAAGCCCTCGATGTCAGAGAGCTTTCAGCCAGTCTTTTAGTGTTCCCCCTGGGGTGAGTGTGCAGATAAGGGTCACCAAATATTTAAGGCAAGTTCTAATATGAATATCAGATAAATATAAAGAGGAAAGAAAATAGAGTGAAGCATCATTGAGGGGAGAAGACAATTTCCGGGGGGGGCGGGATCACTAATATCTTCAGAAAGAGAAGAGCTGTCACAGTCATAAAACAAGCATTTGAAAAAATCCAGAGAAACAAAGAGCTCATGGAAATGAAGGTCATGATAGAAAAAAAAATCGATAGAAGAGTTAAAAGTTAAGGAAATCACATATAAAGGGAAACAAAAAGATAGATGGAGGAGTGGAGAGAAAAAAATATAAAGATGAGAGGCCCAGACCATAATATCCAACTTCTGAAAAGCAGGAAAGGAAGAGAAAACAGAGAAATGGGGGGGGGCATCAAAGGAGTCATTCAAGAGAAAACACTGGAGGGAAAGACAAGACGTGTTACTGGTTGTGCCTGAAAGACGAGATCACGGGTGATTTTTTTTGCCCCCTTCTCCATATCTTTCTTTATTTTCTTAATTTTCTGTAACGAATATCTTTTAAGACCAGGGGGAAATGTGTGGTTTTAATATGACCAACATGTGACTCAGAGGTGATCTGTCTTCCATAGAATGAATGTGTAAAAAGGAGCATTTTGAAAGGGGCAACCTAAGTTCAGTCCTTTAATCAGAAATTATGTCCCCAGGACCAAGCGCAGGCTCACTTTCCTGCCTGTAGGAGAATGCTGTCCTAGATGGGTTTCCAGAGACCGGCCACAGAACTATGCTGGGTGTTAAAAAATTTTTTTTTAATTCAAGTATTTTAATTTTTTAAAATTAAAGTATCTTGTAAAAATTAAAGCACATTTGACATGCAATATTATATTAGTCTCACGTGTACAACATAGTGATTCCACATTTGTATACATTGTGAAACGATCCCCAAAATAAGTTTAGTTACCCTCCATCACCATTGCTAAGTTAACATGGTGTTTGTGACCGTACTCCCCATGCTGTATGTTTCAGCCCCTGACTTACTTTACACCAGGAGCTTTGCACCTCTCGATCCCCATCACCCATTCCATAGCCTTCCTCATCATTCCCTTTCCCTCTGGCCACCCCTGAGCTGTTCTCTGAAGCTGTGAGTCTAGGTTTTGTTTTGTTTTGGGTGTTTGATTCTTACTCTCATTTGAGCTACTTTATTACTGAACACTCATTATTCTACACGGATTTCCCTTGGGTCTTTTGGACTGTCAGCCCTTGGTGTACCAGAATACGAACTATTCTGTACTGTAATTCTCTACGCGTGGCCGAGCTGTTCCTGCTGCTCTGACATACTTTCCCAACCCTGCGTCCTAATGTCCCTCTTACAAAAAGATGTGGTGCTTAAAATCCTTCCGGACCTGAGGAGGCTTTTTGATCGCTGCTGACCAGTTGCACGGGGGCTGTTTTTGGACTG